GGTACTTGTTGTTACCCTCCCTGGCAATTGGCATTGAGGGGCTAAAACAAGGACTGGTTGGCTTGGAGACAGTATACTGTGTCGGAGTGGGGTTTTCATGTTAAACTGTGGTGTTGTATCTCAGTGGGCTAGTACTATAAAATCGGCATTAGTCCGGACGTGACTTTATACCCCATTTGACCTCCCCTATGGTGTCCCACTTGTGCTTCCAAGACCCCCCTTCCTGGGTTAGAAATGGTCTTTAGCAACCCATGCTTGTTGTACGAGGCGACTAACAGGATCGGGTGGTCAGGCTTCCTGATGCAGGTCATCATATCCCAATTACGTAGATAGATGCTCATGTTGTCAATCACTGGATTGTCTAGTACAGACTTGATTATTTACAGACCAACATCATATAACTGTAATATTGCTGAGTGCAGCATTAAACAACAAACATACCAAACCAACTGGTTATGTATATTTGTATTAATGTACATGTTGCTAGTGTCTATTTAGCAGTTATATTTTTGCTTATCCTTCTTTTCCTTCGGATATGATATCCCAGAAAGTTCAGGTATTCCTGGAATATTGCTTAGAGTGGCATAAAACCTCTCACAATGATGTAATACATTATTTTTAAAAATCAGGTAAGCTGCAGTGCCTTGTAACTAAATCAGAAAACTAATTCAGAAAACCAAATCAAATAACACAGCTGCACAGTGACTACACAATGTCATTGATAGCTGCAAAATTGCTGATTCAGCATGAAGAAGGATTTACTCACACTGAAAAAGCTACATGTAAATGTTGATAATTATCACAGATATGCCAGAATACAATATGCTGTAGAGCAATTTTTGTGGTTTTGCAAAGAGTTCCTGGCAATATGTTACCATTTCTAATCATTGCTACAAGCTAGGGAAAATTCCTAATAGGCTTTCATCTCATAACTGCGTTTATTTAGTTATGTTTAATGACAAAATATTATGGAGCATATTCAGTGGAATTAGATTAAAAAAATCAGAGAACCATGTAAACATGCATCAATTAAGTCATATTGCTTATTATTAATTTGTTTATGATCAACGTGGTCATGACTGAAAGAAACCTAGGAATGGTTCAAATGTTTGTTTTGTTCGCACTTTGCAATATTCCTACTATATGTCTGTACCAGACAATCCAGTGATTCATATTGTAAACAACGATCCATGCCATGAGGGTACAATGACACACTATGGACCAAGTGACCTCACCTCACCTCACCTCACCTCACCTCACCTCACCTCATTGCTGGGGACCTATTCAAAACCAGAAATCACCACAAGTGAGTTCAACACTGTTTTGTAGACTCTTGTAATCATTTATACATACAAACATATTTTAAAGTATTGGTGCAGTACCTAATGAATGCCTGAAAGTAGATATGTAAAAAGTGTTATATGATGTTCCAAGCAGCAGAAAATGGGAAAATTAATTGGGCTTCTAAAGTAAAAATATTCTCTTTTCTGTGGGATTTGGCTACATATATGAGCAGCAACTGGTACATACGACAGTAGCATTTTCTCAGAATTCGTATTTCGTGTGAAGGCAATATACGAGCAAGACTGGCATGATGTGCTCATTCGAGGCACCAAAACAAATAGTTATACCCTACATAAGCTATCCTTCTGCTCAGAATTATAACTTAAAGTTATAACTGTTTCAAAATTTAGAGTAGCCCTGGCTTGTTTTGATGTAGTTCACACCAATTGAAAATAGAAAGAGGAATACATATTCGGCAACCATGAGAACTGCGAGTGTGTGATTTATGTAATTACAACACTGTTGAAGATGAGCTTCACATTGTTATCATTTGTAATGCTTATAATGCCATTAGGGCAAAATATATAAGTCAAAGATTTTATGTTTACCTACCTCGATTTACATTTAATCAGTTGACGTCCTCCTCTGATCCATGTACAGTTTAGAAATCTTGCAATGTATATATATCATGCAATGTTCTTGAGACAATGTAAATTGAATTAACAAAGTATGTATTACCCTGAGCCTCTCTCTCCAATATGACGTGTCTTCAACACATATGTAATGAGCCTCAAATTCGCTGTGCAGAGTTGTGTCCCTTGGGCACGCCAGAAACCTATGATTGTGGGTTCGAATCCCCGTTCGCCCCGATTATGTTTCTAGGTTTGTCAGCACCATACCCGTGCTTGTGGGTTTCACCGAAGTGGTAAATGTCTGAGACTTGCATCACTTCGGGCTTTCCTCCCACATTAAGCCGACACGCCGTGATATAACTGGAATACTGTTAAAAGCGGAGTTAAACCCAACTCACTCACTCACTCACTCACAGTCCTTGAATAAATGACTAAGTACTACCAATATATATTCTAGCATGTCTAGATTACTGCAGTTTCAGAAAATGAAGAAAACCTCTTGGCTCCTGTTAATTATAATTGGTTTATACTGTAACATGTTCATTTTCATAAACTAGAGGCTAGTCTGGGTCTGATTAAAATAAGGGATGTGAAAAGAATAAATGATTTACGTTTAGAGCTTGTATTTATTAATACTGCATGATCATGCTTAGGAATAAAGCATCATAAAATGTTTCCTCCCTGACTGAGAAAAGTGTACATGCACTTGACTTGTATTTGTTTGTGGGATGTTTTACGGGTTTGATTCACATTATGAATTTTAACTTCCAATTGTCTTATTGAAAGTAGAAACAAGCAGTGTCCGAAATTACATAATTCCTGGTCCTTTTAACATTAGAGATTGTTGGGGGTCCCGAGGTCATATCTGCAACAGGAGCACATCTTAAAGGGGCACTGATCTAACGCAATTCCCCGGGACTGGTTGTTGCCTTTGTTATTGTTTTTTCCCAGTGAGTACCCGGATGTATAGCAGAAATCTAGACTAGTTCGCGACCTCTGCTGCGCCCTTCGTAAGCGCATTAGGCACTTTTAGGGATACCGCTAGTAATAAGGGCGTATGGTCACATTGATCAACAAAATGGAATACAGTTTTCGAGATAATAAGGAAATGTAGGTATCTTTGTGGGTAGCATCGGTAATGGTGACGAAGTTTTCATAAGACACTTGCTTGGTAATTTTGCGATTTTCGTTTACACTATTTTGACTTGCAACATAAAGTAAATATTTCACCTGAGCATTGCTTTTTTTATAGTGTGTATATTATTTTACTGTCAAAATGTGTAACATATTTATTAAACGTCTAAATATATAGTTATTTTACAAATTGACTGAAAACATTTCCATCTCTATTATTATGATAACGAATTCCAAACATTTTGATGTTTAATGTCATCACCAAGAGACTGAAAATGTTACGTTGAAAAGTACATTTCTATGTTGTTTGGCTTCTAATTCTACATAATAATCTGTTGTGATGTTTGTAGGCCCTTTTGATAGTCTTAATCAATCTGGACAGATTTTTTAGTCAAAATGACTGAAATATTTACACATTTTATAAATTGCCTTAGAGAATCACATTTTAAAAATTGACGGTAATATATACACGCTTACAAAGGGAAAGACCTGTGAAAACAACGTCTATAGAATTTCCCAACCAAGACGTAGAGAAACAAGAACGAATTATCGGTTCAAATGAAGAAAAACAAAATGCAAATACCATAATTACAACCTACCAAATTTATGTGTATAAATTTTAGGCAGCTTCCTTGTTCGAGGAATGTATCCGTGAATACCCACACAAAGGAACAATATCCCACTCGTCTGCAGCTGTACAAAGACACTTATAGATGTCACGTGTCTCTGTAACAATCAAATATTTTAAAAGATATATATCGTTTCGGGATATTATAACCCTTGTTCGTTTCTCAACTGATCACTTGGATTGTTTCAGGTGTTTCACATAGGTGTCAAGTCTCAAGGGTCGGCTGAGAAAGCCCATGTGACAACTTTTTTCATAACGTCCACGGTTCCTAAAAAATCCATTGAGTGATAGATAACAATGATCAATCAATCAACGTATTATCAGTTAACCCTTTGAACAAAGTATGTTGTTTTTACATCGGCACTTCCCGCCATGATATGAGTGTATTCCCTTTGTTTTAGTAAACCTAGACATGTAAACACTCACTTTTGACATATCCACTGTGCAAGATAACAGTGATTAATCAATCAACGTATTTTCTGTTAATCCTTTGATGACTAGGAACGATCCGTTCATTTACAAAAAAAAGTAAATCAACTGATCATTCATCTCTTGCTGGGCTGCCACGTGCATATTACATAACACACATTTCCCCTCACTTCAAACCTGGATTTAGATTGAATAATTACCCCAGACACAATAAATGCCAAATGGGAACCTTTGTCGGGTAATCTAAGTGGTGCTACAACTAATTGTACCTATACTAAATTCATTAACTGAGCATCAAATGAATGACGACAAATACACAAGTGTAGGGTTATACGAGAAAACGTGGATGACAACAAGGTAGTACTAATCGTATTATCGACGCAATCCGAAATCTGAAAATGCTTTCACTGCATGGATATTTTTTTTTAGTATTAAACTATAACCATCTGGGGTATTTCCAAATGACGGCATCCGATGAGCTCCGCCGTTCTTTTTGTCTGTTTGTTTAGGCTGAAGAAATTAATTAACTTGCGCACTTTGTCGAAAGCTTTATAGATCACAGTTAACCAATCAGTGTTTATGCAAAAATGCGTAAAACAAATATTGCCTCCAGCCTCCAAGTTTATTTAACTGTCCTTGCAGACCGTAGCCCAGTCTCTGGTCACGCTCAGTTGCGTTGCGTGTCATCCGGGTACTCACGGGGGAAAAAACAATAACAAAGGCAACAACCAGTCCGGGGAATTGCGTTAGATCAGTGCCCCTTTAAGGATCCCAGAATCCCCATAATTTCAAACCACTGCCAAGTATTTAATAAAACCTGCCACTGTAAACAAACCTGCTCACTCATTTACACAACTCACGACTCTTTTGTCTTTTACATTTTCTTATTCAAGGTGAGAGTGTCCTTGACCTTGGTGCACAGTGGATCCATGGGCTCAGGGGAAACTGTGTCTACGAGCTGGCCAAGAAACATGACCTTGTTGGTGAGGAACAGTTCATGGCAGACGTTAGCACCAGGAGCAGACTACATGAGTTTGAGGGTTACTTGTTCCTCACTTCCAAGGGTGAGGAGGTGGACATGAAGACTGTCCACAGAATGATTGGGATTTGGGATGAAATCTATCATGAGGCAGAAGAATTCTTCAGCACGGATGATGAGAGTGAAAGTGATGACAGCAGTGAAAGTGACAGTGAGAGCAGCAGTGACAAGGATGGTGGTGGCACTGAAAAGGAAAAGTCACACTTTAAAGCCCGAGATTTATTTCCTTGTGGGCAGACGCCAAAATCATTTGGAGAATATTTTGATAGGTGTTTTCAGCATTTCATGATGAATAACAAAGGTGATTCTGAAGATGAAAGGAACTTACAAAAAGCCTTCGCAGAATGGCAAAAGCAATTTGAAAATGTTGACAATGCCTGTTCATCATTGCATGAGCTGAATTTAAGATCATGGGGCAAATATTTTGACTGTGATGGAGATCGGGCAACAGAGTTCAAGAATGGCTTCAAATCTCTCCTTGATGTTATTATTGAGAAGATTCCATCCCAATCCATTTATTTATCAAAACCAGTGAAGACTGTTCACTGGCAGACATCAAATGAAGAATGTCAAGGAAGTGGCTCCAATGAGAAGTCAGTCATTGAATGTGAAGATGGCAAAGTTTTCAAAGCAGACTATGTAGTCATGACGCCTTCTGTTGGAGTTCTGAAAGAAAGGGAGGGAACTCTGTTTGACCCTTCCTTGCCAGAAGAGAAAAAGTATGTGCTGAGGAATATGGGTTATGGAACTGTGAACAAGATCTTCCTTGAATGGGAGACCAGGTTCTGGGATGAGAACTGTTTTGGTATTCAGCTGCTCTGGTTGGACAATGTTCCGGTTCAGGTGAAGAGTGCAAAGTCCAAAATTAGAACTAAGGTACGTTATTTTACCAAAACAATCCTATTATGAATATGCTGGAATTATTTTTAGCTCCCTGGCAAGTAAGGTTTTGTTGGAGTCATATCATAGATTATTACAATTTCAAATTATATCTGTTATCATTGGTTAAGAAAAGGTCACATGGCCTTCCTGAAAACACGGTATTGCCCCGAGACACCCCATACCAAGCAGTGATCAAAACTGGTATTGCCCTGAGACACACCATACCATGCATTGATCAAAACTGATATTGCCCTGAGACACACCATACCATGCATTGATCAAAACTGATATTGCCCTGTGTGCTTAAGCCAATGGACTCGAAGAAGAGAAATATTTTTGGCCAATCAGTGAGACCTTAACTCAAGTCTTGTTGTGCATCATCTCCTGTGACTTCCCGTGTGACATCAGGTTCAATTATTGTTGAATTTGAAATATTCTTGTTTTTTATATAATGTATATGGTCTCCGAATAAAACAATTATTGACCACAATTCGGGCAATATCATGTTTTATGGACTTAAGAACCGGATATTGCCCTTATGAATGGTCAATAATTGATGAGTATCATTCTTCAAAGGTATGATTTTCTCATTTGCTACCAATAGGCCAATAGAATAGATAATGTTCAAGATGGCGACTGTGGTAGCGAAAATGAACATGTTGTTTTGGCCCTTTTCAATTTTGACCAAATAAATTCTTCTTTCAAAATCTGGCATGACCTCTTTATGTATGATTTGAACAAGGTATATTATTTCTGCATAATCATGATAATAATTGCCTGTTTACTTCAGTCTGGAGAAGCCTGGTATGAGAAAGTCCAAGGGTTCGACTGCGTCATCAACCAGCCGACAGTGCTGGAGATGTTTGTGAGTGGGGAGAAGGCGGAGATCATGGAGGCGCTGGACGACCAGGAGGTGATGGACGTCTGTGTGGAACTACTGACCACCTTCACCAAGCTGGACGTGCCAACACCCACACGCATCCTCAGGTAGGAGTGGGTTTGTTCTTCATGTGTCATGCTTTCAGAGTGCAAGAGGAAGGGTAGCCTCTTGGTTAAAGCATTCATTTGCCATTCCAGAGACAAAGGTTTGATACCCTACATCAGCTGTACATGGCCGCAATGGAGAAGCTATTTTGACCACTCACCAAGCAACATCTTCCTGAGGCAAGGGAGTTAACTGACTACAAAAGCCCAGTGTCCTTGCCCAACAAGGCTGGAATTCTGGAGTTACATTTTGGCTTGATTGATGAATCTATGCATAGTCCAAACAAGAGGTTTGTCAACAACATAGATTTCAATGTGTAGATTTCAGTCAACTGCAGGTTTTGCACTGCCTACTGGGTGTCGACAGATATTTTGCAAATATTTTCATGTTTTTTATCAAGATGCTTGACTGGGTGCCACCATTTTGTTTGAAGCTGTGCAACCTAATGATATCGTTGTCATGGTAACGGACACAGATCATGTGCTGACCTGTCTGGGCCGGGCAAGAGTGAGGTGTGCGGACCTGCTGGAAGCAAGGGGTGTGCCGGTGCAGTCGAGTGCTGGATTCCACCTCATATGGGTGGAAGATCTTCCACTGTTCCTGCTAAGAGAAGATGGACAAGGGTCGAGTATGCCAACTATCCCTTCACAGCACCTCACAGCCCCTCACAAGGAGGACGAACACCTTGAGGGACATAGAAGGGACATAGCTCGTAAAAGCCACTGGTGGTGCTACGATCAAGCCTGGAAATTCCATCCTAGTTTGGCAAGGGTGGAAACTGCACCTTTATGGTCAGTTAACTCCCTTGCCTCAGGAAGATGACCATCAATTGCGTTTGAAATGTAGGTACTGGAGTTGAGGTGAAATGAGGTTTAACATTGCCTCAAGATTGTTGCAATTTTTGGACATGATATGTGTCTGTCCTACCTTCTGTGTCTTTCATGTGTGGTGTGGCGTGGCGTGGCGTGGCGTGGCATGTGGGTGTACTAGTCTGGACTAATGCTGGTTTTAAAGCCATCTGCGATACCATGCTGCAGTTCAACATTGATATCCACCTCACACACTGTATACTGACTCTGAGCCGACCAGTCGTTTTTATCCCCTTAATGCTGAGCACCAGGCAGGGTACTCTTTTGAATTGGGATCGTGCCATTGACCTTCCTCTGTCTGGGTATACTCTATCCTTTAGACCATGGAAGTGGTTTTTCAATCACAGGACAGTTACTATGACATCTATTCTTGGCAAAGACAGCTGACTGTATTCTTTCAATCCACGTACAGATGCTACTACCTTTATCAAGTGTGGAATTTGTGACACTTTTTCTTAGCGCCAGGGGCATGGGTTGCCCAGTTGTCTAAGGCACCGCAATTCACTGTGCAGAGTTGCATCCCTTGGGCATGCCAGAAACCTATGATTGTGGGTTCGAATCCCGATTCACCCAGATTATGTTTCTAGGTTTGTCAGCACCATACCCGTGCTCGTGGGTTTCACTGAAGTGGTAAACGTCTGAGACCTGCATCACTTTGGGCTTTCCTCCCACATTAAGCTGACATGCCATGATATAACTGGAATACTGTTAAAAGCGGCGTTAAACCCAACTAACTCACTCACTGTTAGTGCCAATTTGTGAAGTAGCTCGTAGAAAAGAAGAACCCCTGACTTGCTGATTATAATGGTCAGACACCAGTGTATTTTGGTTTTATTTATGATTGTAAGTTTACACATGTTAAAAGATGTGTATCAGTTCCAGTGTTTTGTGGGTTCTGTGCTCTATCCTAATAGACCCTGTCTTTATGCTATTCCTTACAGGACATAGACCTAATAGATTCTTCTGATGCAGGACATTCTGGAACACCAACCCATACTTCAGAGGGGCCTACAGTCTCATCACACCTGATCTCTCGCTGGCCGACCATGACATTCTCAGGGAACCGCTGCCCTCTAGAGAAGTATGCCTTATTTACTGTAAATACTTCATGGCAGAAACGTTTTATGCATCAGACTGTCCCCCCCAAAAAAAATGTTCCCCCAAAATACATAATACATACAAAATCCCAGGCAGAAACTCTCCCCCCTCCTCCTCACAAGACAGTAATGCCAGCCCCCCCATTGCAATTAGCTGTCCAGAGTTAGTCCCTATGAAACCAAATCAAAGATACATTCTGATATTATTTATTAGTTTGTCAACAACCTACCCTCATCTAGTTGAGTGAGTTGGGCTCATCACTGTTTTTAACAGTATTCCAGTTATATCACAGTGTGTCAGCTTGATGGAGTAAGGGCCCAAAGTGATGCAAATATAAGACGTTCATCGCCACGGTGAAAACCACCAGCGATGATCCGGGATATTAATACACAATCATAGGGTTCTGGTGTGCCCAACTCTGTACAAATGAATTGCAGCTCCCCAAAAAAGAGTCCCATGCTCCAGGGTTTTTGATGTTTTGTTACATTGACCATCCTCTGACGATTACGGGTCGGACTAGGTCCCCAGTACCTCATGCTTGTTTTAACAGACAACTGAATTGGGTATTGGGTGGGCAAGCCTTATGACATGACAGATTGTGTGTCATCAATGACATGAAATGCTGTTCATGCTTTCAATCATGGTTTGTCTGGTCCAGACTGATTATTTTAGGCCTCACTGATTCAACCAACATTCACTCACTCACTCTTGTTATGCAGGCTCCAGTGTTGCTGTTTGCTGGGGAGGCATGTAGCAAGCATCACTTCACCACTACACACGGGGCCATGGAATCGGGGAAGAATGCAGCCAAGATCATTCTCAAGGATCTGAAAAAGCTCCACAAGGAAGAGGATATTGAGAAATGAGCTATCTTTATGTTATTGTTTGATTTTATGTGTTTGATCAGTGGAAACTGAATCTTCTCAAATAATCGAATTATGTGTTATTGTTTGACCCATCTTCGTGAGTCAAGGGAGTTAACTGACTGTAAAAGTCGAGGTTTCCACCCTTGCCGAACTAGACTGGAATTTCTGGGCTTTATCGTAGCGCCACCAGTGGCTTTTGCGACTTATGTCCCTTCTATCTCCCTCTTATTGACCAATCAGATTCAACCTCTCATATCGTGTGCATTTGCTTCAAACAAATGGTGGCACCCAGTGAAGACAATCTGATCAATAATCAAAATCTATATTGTGATAAAACGGGTCTTACTTTGCAAAAAGCATCAAATCAGTTGAGCAACTTGATTAAATAGATGAAAAGATTTGCAAAGATCTGTTGACGCCAAGGTGGCGGTACACATGCTTTGCAAATCCTGCAATTGACTGAAATCTGCATGGCAGTTTACGAACCAAATGTCAATTTCGTTACAAGATTTTGATTGGCCTATGCATAGCCTCGTCAGTCAAGCCAAAATATAACTCCATAATTCCAGCCTAGATCGGAAACTTGACTTTTATGGTCAGTTAACTCCTTTGCCTCGGGAAGATGTGTTTGACCCACCTTGGTGATCTGAATATTGATTCATTAAGTGATTTATTTGTTTCTGGTTGACCAATGGAGTTTGAATCTTGCTATGTAAGTAAAGTATTTATTATCCCCCGCCCCAACGAAGTTGGAGGGGGATATAGAAATGGGTTCCGTCCATCCGTCCGTCTGTGTGTGTGTCCCAAAATCGTTTCCAGAGCATAACTCAAAAACCATTAAATACTTTCTTACAAAACTTTGCATGTCTACGAGGCACATAGTGAACTGGTGCCTTTTGCTATTTAGGAATTTTAGAAATTTTTATTTTTTATGTTTCCATGGCAACAAGTTGGACTTAGGTTCTATAGGGTAGAGTTTGTTTCCGGAGCATAACTCAAAACCCATTCAATACTTTCTTACAAAACTTAACATGTCTACTAGACACATACTGAACTGGTGCCTTTTGATATTTAGCACGTTTAGAAATTTTATTTTTTACGTTTCCATGGCAACAAGTTGGACTTAAAAAACAATAAGGGTAGGGTTCGATTCCGGATGAAATTTTCCACATCTTTCAGACACATGTTGAATTGTTGCCTTTTGCTATTTATGAATTTTAGAAATTTGTATTACTTGGCATTATTTCCAGAAATATTTCCTTGCCAAACATTGCATGTCTATATATAAAGCACATACTGAACAGAACTGGTGCCATTTGATATTAAGGAGTTTTAGAAATGTTTATTTTAGAATTTCCATTGAAGCTATTTTGACATGGGCTAAGAGAAATGTTGGGTCAGTTACCTGGTTTGGGGCCATAACGAGTTAAAATGGGCGGGGGATATAGATGACTTTGTTGACTATATGCTTGTTATTCTTTGACTGGGGTGGGGGGTGAATCTTGCTATGTAGGTGAATTTTTTGTTATTGTTTGACCGAAGGGGGTTTGAATCTTGTTATGGAAATGACTTATTTGTGACCAGGAAGGTTTGAATCTTGTTATGTAAGGGACTTACTTGTTATCAAGGCAATTTGAATTTAGATTCAATCATTGTATTATCTGTTATTTTTGGATGAATGTAATCTGAATTTTGATTGACTATAGTGCTTGGTATACTTGTGTGATTGTGTTCTGAATACTGATTCAACAAAGTAATACCATATGCCATTGTTGCAACAGCTGTCTGAGGCCTGGCTCAGTGTCTATGATGTAGAGTGAGATACATATATACATTTGAAGGGAAGGACATTGTCTGTCTCCCAGGACCTGGAGAATAAATTAATAAATAAATCCTACTGAAGTCTAGAATGATTCGGCAAGTATAGATTGACTGAGTTCTTGTTTAATGGAGTGGAGCGTTGCTTCAATCCTAAGCACAGTAGCTAGCTAAGGCATGTTTCTGTATTCTCATTTTGGTCAGGGTACATTTCTAAATACAAAAAAGTATGTTTTCTTGAATAAATGTTACACTAAACACTATTTGCTAGTGAAAATGAGTAGTGAAAACAAATATTTTCATCCATTGTGCCATACCTGACACTGCCAACTGTTAATCATTAGTGTGCCAGGTATTTGGCAATCCTGTACATGAAAAAGATGGCTTACCTACCACAGATAAGTGCACATGCAAGTATCGCGATACGTATCGGATCTTGAGCAAGGTATCATGATGCGTATTGGTTGCAAAGTTGATGTATCGTTCCAGCCCCAGTAAACAAGCAAAACCTATTTCTGAAACACTCACGGAAGGTTTACTTTACCCATTGCCTCCGCATGTGATGGTCTAGGTTCCAGTTTGATGTGGGCAGTAGGCAGAACGATTTAGGGCCTTTAGGCAGTAATAATTCATTTAGTCAGTGAAATCAATGTGATCATTTCATTTGCAAATGTTTTAGATTAATATTTTTTAGTTATTATTTTTTATTTCAACATGTTTGATATACATGATGCACAGCTGTATTGCAAAACAAGTTACTTAAATATTCATTGAATGTCTCAGTAATGAAATGTGACCATTTCCCTTTCAAACATTTTAGGGAGCGGTTGGGAGGCCTAGTGGTTAAAGCATTAGCTCGTCACGCTGAAGATCCGGGTTCGATACCTGACATAGGTACAATAGGTGAAGCCCATTTCTGGTGTCCCCCGCCGTGATATTGCTGGAATATTGCTAAAAGCGGCGTAAAACCAAACTCACTCACTCAAACATTTTAGATTAATTTCTTTTATTCTTTATATATATATTTTTTTCATTATGTTTGATATACATGATGCACAGTTGTAGTCATTGTATTCATTATAATTTTCTAGTGAAGTTTACATTATCTACTGATTTTTCATTGGATGAGAGATTGGTCACATGACCACGGAACTGAAGTTCATAAGTGTATGAACGCCACATTTTGACATTCATAAGTTTCACGAGACTGTATTCTTGAAATGATATAAAGACTGAAAAACTACTTTCACATTCCTGGGGGTGGCACGGGTGGCCCAGTCGTCTAGGGCACCGCGATCCGCTGTGCAGAGTTGCATCCCTTGGGCACACCAGAAACCTATGATTGTGGGTTCGAAGTCGGGTTTGCCTCGATTATGTTTCTAGATTTGTCAGCACCAAATCCCGTGCTCGTGGGTTTGACCGAAGTGGTAAACATCTAAGACCTGCGTCATTTCGTGCTTTCCTCCCACATTAAGCTGACACGCCCTGATATAACTGGAATACTGTTAAAAGTGGCGTTAATCCCAACTTACTCACTCACTCACATTCCTGGGGAAAAAAATGGGAATTCCCAAGCATGAATACATAGAGAAGCATTGTTTCTCATCATTTACATCATTTGATTTTACATCATTTCATAGCGTTTTAGCATACATTGGGATAAGTCAGAGGGTTTGATTGCATGCCTCTTCAAGGATATCCTCGCGACACAAAACGAAGACAAGCACATCCAAACTATCGTTATATCGTCTCGATCCGTGTCTAGACTACAGCGACAATCTACTGCAATCTGTGAATTTACCTTAGTATCTATTGGACACATCTTTACAATCACCTTTCAATGATTGGCCAATTGATCAGTTATCACTTGTTATAGCCACAGGTTCATTAATAACTTTGGGAATCTCTTCTGTCCCGTGTTGGCCATTTTGACGTCTTGTACTTATTACGATGCGCTGTCATTGTTACTGACTTACTGAGGTATTTTTTAACAGACCTTTAACATCTTATTAGGATACTATTTGAATACATTTGTTGTAAAGAAACTACAAAAGTTGTTCTTGTAGTGCATGTTGAGCATACATTTGCTTATGTCACCTCTCATTTTGAGGAACTTTGTTATTCCACGATACAGCTGGTTGTTATATGGCTGTCAGTGTAAACAGGAAGTCACACGTACTAAATACAATTAAACTCAAAGTGAAAATCAATTCTTAAATATATTCCTCATTTCAACATAATATACATGATGCACAGCTGTGTCTCAGTGTTATTAAACGTTTGTATTTGATGCACATGGATGGTTTTGACAGATGATCTATATCAGCAGCATGTTGTTTATAATCGTCAAAATCTTTGAAAATTATGAATGTGATTTTGTTCGGGTTACTCTTACTTATGATTCCATATCCAATCCTAATACATTATATTCTACTCAAGAGTAGTTAAGAACACCCACAATTGAAAGGCTGTGTGCTACATTACCCACCAGCGATAACAGATTAACTGAAGTAATATTAAAGAATCAGGTGCTCTTTAACTGCTTTTGAGTTCCGGTAGTATATATTATGTTGGTAAGTTGGATAGTACATAAAATATCGCTTTTTAACCATCTCACTTATAGATCTAGACTTTCACATGTCTCTAACAATAATTATTAGTTTAAATCATAATTTCTTGATTATGTAAATAATAACAAGTTGTCCCTATAAGACATGGCATCATGTACTGTCCACATATCTAGACTTTCCTATTATTGGGATAGAATTACTACACATCAAAGGACTTATCTTTCAGTATATCCTTGGGATTGGGTTTGGGTTGTTGTGTAACACCGCACTCAGCAATATTCCAGCTATATGATGTTGGTCTGTAAATAATCGAGTCTGGACCAGACAACCCAGTGATTAATATCGTGAGCATTGATCCATGCAATTGGGATCGATGACGTGCATCAACCAAGTCAGCGAGCCTGACCACCCGATCCCGTTAGTCGCCTTTTACGACAAGCATAGTCACCTCCTTAAGGGTATTATAGATCTCTTTATGTGTTATACACCTCCTATGGAAAAGTCCTTGGGTAAAATCACTACCAGTAAGTGGTACATCATTAGTTTAATGAATAGCATGGTGAGGTGAAATGCTGTTTAACGTTGCATGCGTGCGTGCGTATCTGGACTGATGCAGATTTATAGTGCTAGCCCACTGAGATACCATGCCGCAGTTTAACATGAATACCCCACTCAGACTGACTTAGCCGACCAGTCCTTGTTTTAGCCCCTTAATACCAAGCGCCAGATATGGTAACAACAAGTACCATCTTTTAATGTCTTTTGGTATGCTGCTGCTTTGTTTTGTTTGTTTGTTTGTTGAGTGTGTTTAATAGCACACTCAGCAATACTCTAGCAA